CCCGTGTCCCCTGCATTGGCAGGCGGACTCTCAACCACTGCGTCACCAGGGAAGCCCTTGCTAACCCATTTTTAATGCTTATCTTTACTACTACGTGATGTGGATATCATTCTTGTTTTATGGATGAGGATTCTATGATTCTGAGAGGTGAAGTGACTTGTCCAAATCTAGTCAGTATAGGGTAAATTTGAATCCAGCCCCTCAGACTCTTAGAACTTTAGAACTCTTATTTCAATTGGTGCACTAAAGAATGTTTTATTGCCTTTTTTTTTTTAATGGTTGAATTTTTTTTCCTCTTGATTCTAGAAGTAATACAGTTGTATGGAAATATTTTAAGACCATGTCAATAAAGCCAGTATGAAATAAAATACAAAGGGAATCCAAGAGAAGATATGAAATCTTTGGCAATTGTTTTAAAAATTAATAGATTAATATATAAGATGATTAAAGTATGGGTTAAATGATCTCAGAATTTAGCAAATATTTATTTTCAATCTGCTGTATTGGACTAGTAGAGCTAATAGCTAACATTTATCAAGTACTTTCCTTGGTCAGATACACTGTTATAAGAACAGTTCTAAGAAGTATTTTTATCCCTATTTTACAGTTAAGGAAATTGAGGCTTAAAGAGAGAAGACTTTACCCAACATCACACGTGACTGGTAGCTCATCCTACTAACCTCTTTATAATACTAACTTGCTGTCAAACAATTTGTACTATTAACAGAAATATAATACACATCCATAACTGACACTGAAAGAACTGAACTCTTTCAAAAAAGTATTATTCATAACTAGATTACATGTGGACATATATTCAAAACCAATTTGTAAGGGACTACAATAGTTATTTCTTTATGCTTCTTATATTGTGAATCCTGTGACTTAACTCCTCTAAGACCCTGTGGGCCATATCATAATTGGCTGGAAATGAAGCAACAATGTGCTCCTTCATTTATAAAAAGCTGAGAGAAGTGGTACAAACAAGACTACATATAAGCTATTTATTAATGCATTCTTTTAAGTATTCAAATTTTTAAAATTATCTTCTATATTATTAATCTAGAAGGATGAAGTGCCATAAATATCAACTGCTGAGGTTATTTCTGAGCATTTGTTTTAGAGAAATGGTTCTTTATTAGTTGTCCTTTAGCCTCTTGAAAATCTAATGAAAACTCTGGACTCTCTTCTGAGAAAAATGCACATGTAAATATTTTGAATAAAATTTCAGGGGGTTAACAGATGTCTCCCTAAAGATCGCTAGATCCCAGATTAAGATTCCCTGCATAAGAAAGTATTGCTCTGGTTCTATTTGTTACGCTTTAAATCTTAAAAATAAAATTGTTTTGAATATATAATACGAATCTATTCGTATATTCTGAATATATTCAGAAATAAAAAAGGACATTACAGTGAACATTCCCCCTCCCATCACTATCTGCTAGCTAACTTCTCTCCACAGGTGATGATTATTATTGATTTTTATTACCATCCTAATATATCCTTCCAGATAGTCTGTGCATATTTAAGCAAATGTATATGTATATTCTTTCATTTCCTCCCTTTTTGCACAGATAATACTGGTGTATTATACACATTTTGCACCTTGCTTTTTTCATTTGGTACATTTTGGAGTTTATTCATATCTATACAGAAAATACTTCCTTTTCCTTTTAAGGTGTATAGTATAGTAACCCACTGCATGGACATACTGTGCTTTATTTAGCCAGTCCTCTAGTGAAGGGCATTTAGATTGCTTTTAATCTCTCACTGTTACACTGTAGGGAATACCTTCCTACATAAATGCTCAAGTATACCTGCAGGATAATTCTTAGAAGTGGCTTTGTGCTTCTGCAATTAGATAAAGTATGATGAATTGCGCTCCATGGGAGTTGTACCAGCTTATGCTACCATTTCCTGACCAACAATCAGGCTGAGACTAACACAGCAAATTATATTTCTGGATCTTTGATCATTTGATAGGTGAAAATCTACTTTACATTTCTCCTAGTCTTAATGAGTTCCAGCATCTCTTCATATTTTTATGAATCATTTCTGTTTCCTTTTCCATTAACTGCTTGTTCATATTATTTGCCCATTTTTCTATCTTTTTTTTTTTTTTTTTTGGTCTTTTTTACCCTCTCCCCCAACTTATAAGATTTGGCTATTTACATATTAGAAAAACCCTTTTTCTTTCTTTTTTTTTTTTTTTTTTTGGTCTTTTTTACCCTCTCCCCCAACTTATAAGATTTGGCTATTTACATATTAGAAAAACTTGCTCTGTATGCTATAACTTGCAAGTATTTTTCCCCCAGTCTGTTGTTTACCTTTTGCCATACATACATTTTTTTAAGGTAGCTGAATTTATCAGTCTTTTTAGGTTCAATGTCTAAGTCAGGAAGTCCTTCCCCACTCCAAAATCAGGAAAAATTCAGTTTTGTTTCAAGTTTTATACTTTGTATGGAATTTATCCTAGTATAAAGTGTAAGGCATGGCCCCAGCTTTACTTTTTCCAAAAAGTTGATTGAATAATTCGTTTTCCTCCTCCATTGATTTCAGATGCTACTTCATATAAACGAGTCAATTTATGGACGCTCTATTCCACTTAGCTGCCTTCTTTTATGTAGTAATGGCAAACTTTCTTATATTTATTGAGGCTCTATAAAGTATTTACACTTATTTTTCAAAATCGCCTTGGCTATTCTTGCTTGTCTTTCCACATGTACTTTAGAATCACCTTAACAGTTCTGAGAAAATCCTGTTGGTGCTTTTATCCTGTTGATTTAACCTAGAGAGACTTTATATTGGTATGATGTTGAGGCTTATTAACCAAGAACACAAAATATCCTTTTTTGTGTCTCTATGAAGTATTTTAAGTTTTCATATTTATCTTGACATTTTTTAAGTCAAATATTTTATCTGGATATTTTATCTTTATTGTTGCTGTTGTAAATGGGGTCTTTTTCCTTTCTCATTTTCTTTTGTTTTTATATATGAAAGCAGAGCTATGGTTTTCTATGTATTAATTTTGTACCCATCTCTCTCTTGACTTCCTTTATTGATAGTAGCGCTTTATATCATTTGTAAGTAGTGACAGTTATGCCACAGCTTTTTAATATTTCAACTTTTTTTTCTTCTCTGATTGCATTGGCCAGTACCTCCAGAACAGTGTTCACTGGTAGTATTAGTGGTCTTAGTAGACATCCTGTTCTGTTACTGACTTTAGTGCAGATGCTTGTAATATTTCTACATTCATCATGGTGCTGACTTTTTAACTGAGATAAATGTATTTTATTGTGTTGGGGAATTTTTATTAAGAGTTTTATATTTGTTCTAAGAATGGATGTTGAATTTAGTTGAATGCCTTTTTAGTCTCTAGCGGTATGATCACATATTTATTTACAGATATTCAGTATTCATTAGTGAGATGGTTACTGATGAGCTTGTTAGCTAAACATCTACATTATATAGTATATCCCAAGAGCTCCTAGGCACTATTATAACTTATACTCTATGGTATAGGAAACTTATCTCTCTCATGTTCACTGCTCTACCTCAGCTTCTAGAACAGTGCCTGACAACATGAAAAATAAATTTTTTGAATGAATTAATTGCTCCCTTCTTTGAGAAGCTGATGCTCTATGTGAAAACTAATACCCAAACTTGCTAAGAGGGTGAGTTTGAGGAGGGTGGTTCTTTGTATTTCAAAGGATTTTGTTTTCCTTTATGAAAGGATTTATCAAGAGTTCTTTTGCATAACACAGAATTCTTAGTGAATTTTAAGTGTCCATTTATGGAAAAAATAATTCATGAAAGTAAAATAATCCAGACTGTACTTCATAACTTTCTGTGTGTGTGCACTATACTAAATACAGGGATATAAATGTCAGTTGCTTCTAGTCTTTATTAAGTACAAAATATGGGCAAAGTACTCAATGTAGTCAGTACCATAATAAAGGTAGAGCCTGCTTCTGTATGCAAGATGTAATCATTATATTTATTATCACCCAAACAAGAAAGCAGTGACCCTTTGAAACTTTTCTCTTATTTGTTAATGTTTGTGAAAGTTCATAAATTGAAAGGTCATGGGAAATCCTATGTTGTATTGGGGGGTGAACTCTTATAATGCTTTTCTCCTTTAAACTGTTTTGACTAATTCAGTCCTTGGTACTTTTATCACATTTCTTTGAGATATAATCCTCAGAATGTTTTGATTCTTGAGAATTTCCAAAAATCCTAATAAAATTCATTTCAGAGAATTTCAGAAGATCCATCTCCTTAACTTATAAACATAACATTACAGGAAATTTGGAAATGAGAGAAAAGAAGAAAATGAATTATTAAGCCTACCTTCTTATTACATCTTTTATCAACTATTACACCTTTTAACAACTACGTATAGGTCTTTACAGTCTTTTTTGTGTGTGTGTGTTTATGGTTTTACCTACTTGTAACGATAGTGTGTCTTGTTTTCTTTCTTCTCTGAACACTCTACCAGACTTTTTTTTTTTTGCATTCCTACCTCATCTGTTTAGAAAAGAAAAAAAGGATGAACTGAGGTTTAGAAAGATTGGACTGATCATCTAGCTATTAGACAGTAGTTTGGGTCTTGGTTTTAAGTCACTTTATTCCCCAAGGTAAGTGTATGTATGAGTGCTTATAATGAAATTACCTCATAAACTAGAAAACATGGTACAAATTTTGTTAATTCTAATTTCAGGATGATTTCACAGATCAAATTGTGGGAATAAAATACTGTAAAGATGTACAGAGAAAGGAAGATTTTGTTTGTGAGTTTCAGCACTGCACAAAAGGTGCATTTAGTTCTAAATAGGCAGTAGTTTTTCCATTTATCTGTGATTTTTGTCATTTCAGTACATATTTTTGGCTTCTTTTGATAAAATTCTTGAATTAAAAATATATAAGCATCCAACACAGAGTTATGATCATAGCAGTTACTTGTAATAATTTATTAATGATATTCAAGTACAGACTGATTTGCACCTATCTCCTGCTATTGATTTCCTTTTAAAGTAAAACTTTTGGTGACAGCTTTATGTTTTAATGCATACCTTGAGTATCTTAATTATCTTATCATATGTAAGGTATTTTGAGATTAGTTTTGCAACAGTGGCAGCATACTCTTCTTTTTCTTCTGCTGAAAAGTCCTGATCTTAATTTTTTTCTTTTCTTCTTCTTTTTCTTTTTTGAGAAGCTGCCAAACGGTGTCACTTACCATACTGGAACATATCAAGACCGGTTAGCAAAGCTGCAGGATCATCTTCGCCAACTCTCTATTCTCTTCAGGAAGCTGAGATTGGTCTATGATAAATGCAATGAAAACTGCGGAGGGATGGATCCCATTCCAGTAGAGGCAAGTTTTAGTGGTAGAGGGAGGATGAGTCTAAGATAGTCTCAGGACATTTGTAATTTTTTCCTTTCTCTCTTCTGTTTTCACCATATTTCCAGATTATGAAACATACTGGTTTTGCTTTTGACTAGAGAAGATGAAATTGTGATATATATATATGCATAGAATTATTACTGTCTTTTCTTGTTAATAATTTCTAGTAGACTTTAACATCCAGGCTGATAGTAAATTTTTCCTGTTGGGAGGAGAGGGTTGTCTGTGGCAATTTTTATTATTGCTTCCAGTGTCTCATTTTAATTAAATCAGTGCATGTTTTAGTAGGCATATTAATAGTATTGTAAAATCCTTTTAAAGTGGTTTTCATGTAAGTTCTTTACGGATAAAAGGTTATAACTATTTTTATCATTATTAATTTAAATTATCTTAGTGGAATCACTCTAGCTTTTAAATATTTCTTAAATTTAATCTCGGATCATAGATATATTTTAGTTAATTAGGTATATGATATTTTTATAGGTGCCCTTTTTCTGTTGACAAGTTATATGTCTGCCACCAAAGGTAGCTGGGAAGGTTTGAATGTTCTCTCATTACATATAAGGAACAGTTTCCTGTGATCAGTGCTTTCTTTTTTGAGCGATCAGCATGTAAAGAGTGAACAGAGAAAGAGTAAACTGCAATACAGCCTGAAAAGAAGGGGTCAGAGATGCGGAAGATGGGAAATGTGGTTGACATTGACAGATGCTGCAGAGAAGTCAAGGAAAATAAAGAATGAAAACTGTCCACCAGATTAATTGTTGGTATATTTGAGCAGAGCTTCTGTGAAAAGGTAGCAACAAGAAGTCAGATCACAGTGAGCTGAAGATTAAACAGGAAATAAGGAACTGAAGCCAGAAAGTGGATATCCATCTTTCAAGAAGGTTAGATTAAAAGCAAGAGAAGAAAGCAGTAGATGGAAGGAGGGACAGAGTTGAGGGTTAGGGATTTTTTTCCTCCGAATGGGAGAACATGTTTAGATAAAAAAGGAAGAAAATGGTAGGGTGAGGTTGGGGGAAATAAATAATGAAGACAGGAGGGCAGAGGAATCAGGGCACAGGAATGGAGACAGAGTGTCTTCAGGAGGAAGGACCACTCTGCTTGCGTTAGGAGAGAGGAAAGGAAGAACGGAGCTGTGAATGTGGGCAAGTTTATATTTGTCCCAAGAATTCATAGAAGTTTGGGCAGATTGACCCCTGATTGTACCAGTTATTTACCTCTGTCCTGTTCCTGCATTGGTAATATAAGATGGAAGGACTAGATAATTCCAGAAGTCTCTGTCACATCTACAAGAGGCTTCATCAAATAAACTTCATCACAAATCATATGTATTTAATTATAATCCTGCTAGAAGTTTCATTGCTATATAAATTTTCTTCTCTTACAAAAAAACTTTCTCCCAACTAAAAGACATCTAGAAATCTGCACAGATACTAGATAGCAAGTAAATGACATTTATATAATACACATCCATGAAGTTCCTTTCTTTTTAGTATAGATGAAGGATAGCCTGTTCCATCTCAATGAACTATAAATTTCATAAGGGTAGGATTTATTTGTCATTTGTCTTATTTGTCATTATTTTTGCAGTGTCTCCTCACCCACTATCTGCCAATTAAATATTTGCTGATTGACTGAGTAGGATATTACTTAATTACATGTGACAACTAATTTTGCTAAAAGGACTATTTTGCAAAAGAAATCTGAAAAGCTAATGTGTAGAGTGCACTGGAATGATAGACTTCTAAGGCTTTTATTTTAGGCTGTCATTTGAATTAAAATATATTTTTGTACTATTAAGAGAAAAGTATAAAAAGTGATCTTAATCGGATGCATTATCTATACCAGTATAATTGGAAATTGTGTGTCATATGTTTGACTTTTTTAACTTTTGTCTGTCACTCCCAGCAACTTATTCCGTATGTGGAAGACGATGGCTCAAAGAATGATGACCGGGCTGGCCCACCTCGTTTTGCTAGTGAAGAGAGGCGAGAAATTGCTGAAGTCAATAAAGTGAGTAGCTAGTCTGTATGTTTTATATTTCCGAATTATTGATACAAATTACAAGGCAGTCTGTGTAACTCAAAAACATAATTTGAATTATAGAATTACCTGAAGTTGTTTCTGTGACAAATTTAACCTACTTAGAGTACAACCCAGGACTAAAAGGTAAGCAGAAATGCCATCTGAATAGTCAGAAGAGAGATCACAGAATTCAGGCAGTAAAGCTCTTAGAAAAGCCTCATAGGCACTCAGTCACAACCCATTTACTTTTTTCTTTTCTAGGCAGAATTGTAGCTCTCTAGCTTAGAGCATATTTGGAGCAGCAAATGATAAAAATTTACAGGTAGGAGAGGTGAATGTCTCAACAGCTGAATAAGAAATTGAGTTATCAAAGCACTACCCCATCCCACCCTCCACCCCACAAAAGTTCCTAACTTGAATTTATTGCTGAGTACTTTTAGAAGTTCAGAAGATAATGTTCAGATAGTGCTCTAGAAACATAGGGAAATAAGGAATGTTGTTAGTTCATTCTGTGGTGGAAACATAGTTACCAAAACCTAACAAATAGCACAGTAAATAAAACTACCAATCTCGCTCCTTCACTTACAAATACACGCTCCCACTCCTGAAATTCTCCTGCCCCACTCCTGAAATTCTTAATGCTAGTTAATAGAATTCATCAGGGTATTAATTAATCCACCACAGCCACAGAGGGTTTTCTGAGGTAGAGGATGGTGACTCAGTTTACATATAATATCAGTAGATTAAATTGAAAAAAAGAATGCTTAAAACTATTAACAAGATAGTCTTTTTAAAAAAAAAACTTTTTATTTCAGATAAGTAGCCAACATTTTTCATTGAGATGAAATATAGGCATAACATAGGATGCTTTACACCACTGTGTTTAATACTATTTTAGAAGTTATAGCCAGTGAAACAGAAATAAACTTTAGGAAACAGGGGTTATAATATTATGTACAAATCTGTTAAGTTCCTTAAGCTTGTACATAACATTTTAACTCAAGCTTAAGCTCAAAGAAGCTCATTGATTAATGAGTCAATAAGTGTTTGAAAGAAGAGCTTAATACAAGATTGATACCATTTTTCTATAATGCCATAAAGAAATTAGAATATGAGATCCTATTCACAATTGCAACATCAAATATTAAGTAGTTAGGAATTATTTCCATGATATATGTAACTAAACTTATTAAGATACATAAAAGAAGTTTTGAATAGTTGAAAGAACACATTAAGTTCTTATACGGGCAATAACTATTCTAAACAGTAACAGTCCAAATCCAAATATGAATTCTCTTGAAACTGCACAAAACTTGTAAGATTTTAGTGCAATACCAATCAAAAAACAAATCCAAATAAAATGCAAATTGGATTTTCTTGAGAGCATACTAAGATACATATATAAAACAATTCCTATAAGAGTAATAAAATAAAGAACTCTGCTTCAAAAACTAAAACGTGATATCAAGTATATTGTAAAAACAATAATTAAGTGTGAAATACCAGCACAAGAACAGATTAATAAAATAATAGCCAGAAAAAGTCTTCCTATTGTATATGAGAATTTAATATGACATAAGAGGGATTGTGTGGAAAATTAGTCTTTAAAAAGAGACACTTTTGGGGAAAATTAAGCTAGCTTTTACATTACACCATGTGTCAAAATGAATTTCAGAGTTGAAAATAAGACTTGCAAAACAAAGTATTGGAAAATTAAAAGAAAAATGTATATCAAAACTCAGGAAAAAAGAAAAAGATGGATAGATTTTTCTAAAACATTTAAAACAATTTTTAAGAGGTGAAATATAAATTAAGAGGAATAGTTCCAGCAAATTTGACAGTAATAAGCATAAACAATTTACAGTAGGAAATTATGAGGGGATTAGGAGGGGATTGGGAACTTTTATTTTAGATCTTGAAGAATAAGTGGTGTTTGGTAGTACAGAGATATAAGACATTCATTTATTAAGTGTTACATGTTTCTGTTGATAATCTATGTATTAATTCACAATGGATGTGTTCTATTATTTTTCTCTATAGTAAGGATATTATTTATAAAATACAATGAAATGTATATATAAATAAAACACAGTTGTGATGGTAACTTTGATTTCAGAGTACAACATGTGACATACATATAGTTTGTTCTCTACCATAGAAGATATTATGATAT